CTGCATGTGGCTCCTTGCTGCCGGGTTTTGAAGCAGGAACCTCGATAAAGACTGTTTGACCTTTTCTTGTGCTCATGTTTATCATTTAATTGTTGTGATTGGTAGATTATTTTATAATATCAGTTGAATTAAAAACAAATGTTTTACACTTAGTGAGTCTTGAGTGGCCATAAACTGAATAAGACGCACATTTCCTACAGGTATGGCAGGATATTGACAATCAAATAGCAGAGCAGGTAGGAGCCTCAAGCGTTGAGAAGAACCCCACCAACACAAGAATGGAAAAATATCAATGTCCCGAGTGTAACTACACCTGTTCCAAACCGTCTCATTTTACAAAACATTATCGAACTCACACAGGAGAAAAACCTTTCTCTTGTCCAGAATGCTCATACCAAACCAGCGACAAGTCAAATCTAACAAAACACATTCGTATTCACTCTGGAGAGAAACGTTTTTCTTGTCCATACTGTTCATTTCGATCTAATCGAAAAGATCGACTAGTGGCTCACGTACGAACTCACATGTAAAGAAAACACATCACTTACACATCTCTTAGAGATGCTACAAAAGACACAGGGATTGAAATAGTCTGCAGTATCACCTCTCCCCACATTTGTTAATTTTTGTGTATTCATTACAGTACAGTACAGTACCTTCTTTAGTGTAAGACAAACAATACAATGTGATTTATTTCATCATCATCTTTACTAAGTGTGTGGTATATTGTGTGTTTTAGTACATTTCTCAACGGATCTCAATAATTACAATTATTCAAATCGGAAATCTCTTTTTTTACCTCATGTTTACTTGATTTTGAAATACAATTTGTTACGGAAGCCTACTCTATTGGATTCAAAAATTTCTTAAAAGATTCCAACTTTATTTGTTTGCCTTACTTGCAAATTTTTATTTTCTACCATTTACAAGCATGTAATTTTTACTTCACTTATATTTCTTAGTGATATCGCTCTCTAGACTTGGTATCTCTAGTTATCATTGAACCTCACCAACTGAATAAACAGAACTGTGGAAGAACGCCTTAAGGATATTTAATTTTTAACTCATTTGATATTTTTTTTTTTAATGTACTTTGTCATCCCTTGCTGAAATAAAAGATATGAGCCTTTCACATAAATGTTGTTTCATCTTCCAAATCTATTGTGTATATATAAGTTTATGTTGTATTAAAACCTCCTGAGCCGTGACTAAACCCGACATGCGTTTGCAGTAGTGTTTATTGTTATGGGTATGTACTGTACAGAGAAGAAAGGGTTAGTATATATTAATTCACTCTGTCTAAGCCATATAAACAAGGAAGAGTTTTTGATGTTTAAACGGAAGGTAAGAACTTTATGACTGTAAACTGTATTTGAATAAACTTCTTAACTCATACTGTAGTTACTGTCTAATGCAAGTTCATAAGACAACTTGGCTAAATTTTTAACTTTCGGTAAGTTCGGACAGAGCAAGAGTGTGTGTGTGTCTGTCTGTCTGTCTGTCTCTTCGTTGTTTGAAATTGCATTTATCTGTTTTAGTCATATCACATAACTCAAAAGACAATGTACTGTGCCCAGGTCAATGAGCTGTGTAATTTTTGTCCTCCACTGTAAACAACTAATTTGATGAGTTTAATTTGGTAAGTACAATGTGATGGAAGAAAGATGTGAATTACAGTCCTTTTATTCCTGTTGGTGATTACTGTATTTACAATTGTATTTACAGTATACTTTTCTTCATGTGATTGATTTTTTTTTTGTACATTTTCTGTATTTTGTTTCTAAGAATTTATGTTACTTAAATACAGAGACAAGAAGGAGAAGATACAACTCATCTTGAAAAGTACGATTTTTATTGCAGCTTACAAGTGGAGTTTGTCACTTTGTGAATTTTGAATGTGAACGAAACATTACATTCACAAGTGGATGAACTTACAGTATAACATAATTCACTATTGAATTAACTACGATAAAAATAACGTGACTTAATACAGTACTATTTACTTATATACAACAAAGCCTTGGGGAAAGTGGGTCCAGAATTTGCAAATTTCTGGGTTCTATGGGATGTGTTTCTGGTGTACAAAATACAACCATTTACCAGTACAGTATTGCCATTTTAAGCATACATTTACATCAATATTATGAACATTTATTGTACCTTGTTGTACCATTGTTCCATTCTAAAGTGAAAACAAATACTGTACATTACTACACAAAAATAGAAACATTATTTGAGCTAACTTTACAGTCTCTGGGGCTGAGGGTTACTGAGTGAAGTGGTGGGTACGGTACTTTGATTTTTTTTTTTTTTTTTTTTACATAAATGTTACTTATCTTCTTGGTGTGTCAGTGCTCACCCTGGTAGTAAAATAGGGAGTACCAGTAACACACAGACGTAATATTGCAGTACTGTACACAATCCCTCGAGTGTGTTTTGTGCAAGATGTCGGGAAACAAAGGACTCGGTATATGGTATCCTCTGGGATGAACTGTATTTCGTTTGCACCTAAAAATCTTGTATGATGACACAGGGGACCAGACTAATATTCACTTTAAAAAGTATTTCAGTATTTTAGTAATTTCTGGTTTTTGTGGGTTGAGTTTGAATTTTTCTCTAAAAGTGTGGATAAAGTACAGTACAAGTATACCTTATTGAGTTTACTTTATCCAGAGTTGTGGTTTACTCAAGTACAACTTTATTTTAGTGTACTGTTCATGCAAATACAGTGTCTTCGTTGTTGATCACACTAAGTTTAGAAGAGCAAGACTTTTGAGTCTGTCTCTCTCATCTTATCTCATGCTGTACTGTAGGTATTTACTGTCTCTTGGTCTCTCTTCATCAGTGTCTCCTTCACAACTTCATCTCTCAGCTTCATGTGAGTCTACAGGACATCACTGGAATTTAACAAAAACATTGTCAATCTTTTTGCTTTTTCAAACTCTTATGATTGAATAAGACAAACATTTTCTACAGGTGTGGCTGGATAATGACAGTCAAATAGCTGACAAGGTAAGATGCTCCAACATTGAGAAGAACTTCACCAACAGTAGAAAGGAACCAGAAAAATATCAGTGTCCTCAATGTAATTATGTCAGTGCCAATCGTTCTCATTTCAAAAGACATTATCGTACTCACACTGGAGAAAAACCTTTTTCATGCCCTCACTGCTCCTATCAGGCGAGTGATAAGTCAAATTTAACACAACATGTCAGGATTCACACGGGGGAGAAGCGATTTTCTTGCCCTTGTTGTCCTTTTCGATCAAATCGGAATGATAGACTTTTGAATCACTTACATACTCATATGTAAAAGGTTATTGACTATTCCAAAGTACAGGTATAATTATTAGTGATAGTGTTAACAATAATGTTATACTGTATATGGGACATAGGTGTTGCGCTGCCATTTATTATGACCTTAAGTTCAAGTTAGGAATCTCATAGTACTGTACTTAGGATGGGAAATTTTCAATGTCTTACGTTACCTCTACAAGGGACACAAGAAATAAACAGAAAGATTGAAACTAGGAAAAAAAATTATGCCATTGGAAACTCTTTAACCATACAGTATTTGTGCTGTTTGATTCTGCTGTACTCACCAGGACTTAAGACTCATTTATCAGTTGATTAGCCAGAATAAAAATTTACTTACCAGTTCAAACTCTACACAATACTGTACCATTGAATTTTTATGTGTCCCAATTGAAGTGTTTGAGTACAGTGCAGTAAAGGGATAATTGTTTGCCTCATGATCGTGATTCATTAATCGTGATTTTATCGTCATTATGTGGAGCATTTAATTGCCATGATGAACTGATGAATGTGTAAATGGGTCTTGCTTGTTCGGTAATATGACGCTTTTACTGTTACACTGAAAATATTTAAGAAGATGTAAATGTATTTTTTGATTAGGAAATTACAGATCTCAGTTTAATGTCTAATAAAGATCATATTTGCTTACAAGTGTTTATATTCATCCTAATGTCTTTGTTGAAGAGAGATATGAACTTCTATAACATAAAATACTAGTGAACACATTTATATGTCTACTTTCCCTCGTTATGTTGTAGTTGTTAGTGTGCTGAGTGCCACTGTAATATAAATATGCTGGCAGCAGATGTCGCTCCATTAGCTCCTCCACTACTAAAGTGCTGTACTACTGTCCGTCTGAAATATTTTGCTATTTTTCAATTTTTTTTATAAAGTCTACACCGACTGTGTAGTGTTGTTATGAACTGACTAAGGAGACTGGACTACATTTGCATTAAATTGTAATATTTCAGAATTATTGTGTTTTTCCCCAAAAGGGTATCCATGGGCCTGACAAGGTCTGGCTTATCCAGATTTACATATAAATGAAATTTGACTTATTGGTGGTTTAGGTACAGTATAGAATTGTGTGTATCAGTTCTGGGATTAACTCTCATATAAATCATATTACCCCATCAGCAGTACAGTATAGACCTTTTTGACACATTCCTAGGATACAGTAAATGTGTAGTATTTTGCAATAGCTTTAATTAATATGTTTCTTTGTAGTCTCCATAAATGTTAGTTTTCAGATTTATAAAATAGCATCATACAGCAATACAAGTAATACCGTACTGTACTTTACTACAATTATAACATTTTCCCAACTAGATAAGTTTGCCTACTAGAGTTTGCATGGTCTCCAAATCTACTGCTTACTTGTAACTGTAAATTTTGGGTCATTGCTATGTTAAGTGTGTTTGGTAGTCACGGGTCAGTGGATTATCTCTGGTGTAGTTCCTCCCTTGTTTCAGTGACTTTAGAAATTTGATAAAAGAAAAGAAATTTGAATACAAACTATTCATTTCACAAACTTTAAGGCTTTCAGAAATTTTAATACATAAGGTTTCTTCTCTGCTTAACTTTGGCTTGCATTCATTCTGAAGAACTTGATGATGGAAAATACAAGATAAATACTATAAACTTTTAACTTTTTTTTTTACTGAATAAGACAAACATTTTCTACAGGTATGGGTGGATAATGACAGTCTTATGGATGATGAAGGAAGCATGGCAGCTAAGGTGGACCTCATCGGCAGCAGAAAAATGACCAAAATGTACCAGTGCACACAGTGTAGCTATAAAACTAGCAATCGTTGTGATATTACAAAGCATTATTCTACTCACACTGGGGTAAAACCTTTTTCCTGCTTACACTGCTCATATCAAACGGCTGATAAATCAAACCTGACAAAACACAGTCGTATCCACACTGGAGAGAAACCCTACTTCTGTCCATGTTGTCCATATCGAGCCACTCGGAGTGATAGTGTTAAAAGTCACTTTGCAAATGTTCATAAGTTCACCTAGGGCGTAACACTGTAATACTAACACTATCAAATATGGCATCTGATTTCCTGATTTATGCTAAGAATCAGCTTGTTGGCTGTGTGTCCTTCTCACACAATTTTAGCTTCTCATAATTCCTAGATTAAAACCAAACATGGAGAGTATGCAAACTTGTGTGGAAAAGCTATTCATATTTACACATTCAACTTGTATCCTCTTGGAGATGAAATTAAAAACGATTCTTGACCAAGGAAAATTTATAGATTATATATGTTTTCCATATAATAGGCATCCCACATCATAAGATTATTCACCCCCCAGGAAATGAATTATCGTAAGGAACTATTTTAAATTTTATCATGATGACTACTTAACTTTCTGTATTTTTTTTCCTTTATTTAGTTATCTATTTAGAGCTGCTGTATTGTACACAAGTTTTATATGTATGAAATATGAGGGGGTTGGTGACCACGGTCCTCCTAACTAAATAGTATCAGGTTTTGTAATCTTTCGGAAGATCTCCTTTGTAGAATATATATACAGTACTGTATTGTAGTTTCATATTTTAGTCAAACACTTGACCCCATTCCTACTCATTTGTTTGAGAAATTTACAGGAATCTGATCATATCCACAAGTTTTATCAATATTCTTTTTTTTTCACAAGTTTCTATAAATTCTACTTCCAAACATAAACATGACAGCCTTTTTTGTTTCTCACCTCTACTGTATCCTCATCATAATGCAGTACTTTTTGCTTCTGCCTTTTTCCCCTCTCTTCTTCTACTTCATATATAAGCAACCACTCATTAAAGTCTCACCTCTTTTGTGTTCTCTTTTCTTGTTTATTTATTTTGCCCTTTTCTAAATTTATGTATTTATGTTTATTGTCATTATGTATCTTCCTACATTCTTTTTTTTTAGTGAATTATTGTATTCTGTTTACAAGTTTTTCTAATTTCATTGTGAAGTTCTTATACTATGAGCCTCACTGCCTGAAGGTCCTGATCAACATTCTTTTCCTATCCGGTGTTATATAAATTTCGGTTGTGATCTAGTCAGCTTTAGTCTTTTTGTTATATAAGTTCCTTTCCACTCTATAATGTTATGTCTTTGTATTTACTCCATTGTTCTACTTTCTGTTCTTCGTGTCCTTCCCACAGTAGGTTCCAATTTTGAGTTCTGTCTCTATATCTGTTTTCTGCTTCCCTAAATCCCTTATAATTTTATCAAGCTTTTTGTTTCTTAAGTTTTTCCCTCCCAGTACTCACCAGAGGATATAATCTATCTCATAGTTTTCCCTGGGTAGGACTTAGCTTAGGTGATGGTACTTGGTATTTTAGTTTCTCCATTGAGCGGACTGTATGGAGAGGAAAATACGTTATATCAAGGGCCAGTTAGATGTGAAACTCCCATCTCATGGATCATATGGTTAGAGAAGTCCATTATTTCGAGGTTTCACTGTATTTGATTCCTGACAACATCTTTTTTATTATCTTGGGGTAGCGTCATTTTACAAATGGCCTTGGGGTGATGTTCAAACCAGGATTTTCTAATTTTCATCATCTTCTTTAACTTTCTCTTCGATTATGCCTTAATACCTAACCCCATGGTCCTAATTCTGGTGATTCATTCCCCTTTCTTACCTGTGCATTAAACTCACCCAATTATAGTTAAATACCTGTACTGTACTCATTAGACCTCATTCTCACTAATTTGTTGAAGAAAAGAAAATTATTATTGGCAAGTACTGTACAGTTCTTGTACATAAGTTGAGCATTAAAGCGACCAACAGAATTATTTGACTTTGCCCATTATACCTTTACATAACTGTACTCAGCTTCCACTTTACAACACTCCCCAACACCTCTTCCAAGCTTCCACCTAAGGATATAAAAAGACATTATTCTCCACTTATGCTCTTTGAACTTGTCCATCTTATTTCACTTAATCCCAAGCTTTTACACTGCAACATCTTCATCTCCCTGTCAGCATTTGTGTCCTGTGCTTCCTATCTTTACACAACACCCTCACATTCATAGTGACTATTTTGAGTTCAAGTTCTGATTGTTGTTTGGTGTCAAAGGCTTTGTCGTGTTTACATAGTACTGTACTTGCTAACTCTCATAGCATGCTGCTCGTGAGCAGGAGAGATACTGTACTTCGGTTGAACTTTTGAGTTATTGTCTGTCTAACATGAATGCTCGAAAATTTTATTTAGTGCCTGTCCAGGGTGGTTGTAGGACAATAATGGAAATGACATGAGGAACATAAAGAAATGGAAACCGTTCACACATGAGCTATCTGGGGTAGAGGTCACTTATACTGTACCCCGCTGTGGAAAAAATCAGCTCGTCACATTTTTACTCAACAGTTTAAACTTTCACTCTGGCAAATGATATATAAATAATGTTGAGGCAGCACTTACTTAACTGCATCTCAGGAGAAAGAGCAGTTAAATAGTAAATAAGGTAAACCTACTATCTATAAGAAGAAATAATGTCATTATTCATACACAGTATGAAATATATGATAGTGTAGTAATGTGTGAACTGACTCCCTGACTAAGCTCAAGCCAATTTACATTTCATAGGTGTTGACTAGTTGTTGAGTGAGTCAACCCACACCCGCCAGTCCACTGTCTTTTTTTTTCAATATTATATAAATTAAGTGTTTTTAGGTTCACTTAATTGTATTAATTATTTCAAACATTGAGAAAGGGAAAAAAGGCAGAGGATTTACTGATGTGGCATTCTGACTCTCTCAGCCAACAACCACTAACTGTAATGGTTGCTAAGGCCACAAAAAGTGGGTGGAGTTCAGTTGTAGGTCAGCTGTTATTTTCTGGTACTTGTGATATGAAAGCTAAATCGGCTCATAGGTGTAGGTGGTCAGTGGCTTGGTGACAACACAAGCCTTGCATCACCAACACTGTGAGCCTAGATAACAAAATTGGGTGCCTTTATTATATAAGATATACAACTATACTGTAGGACTAATGTATATGTAAGTTTATTATTATGTATGAAAAAGAGCATAATTATCATTATATTAATATTTTATGATTGAATAAATCTGAATTAAATTGTTTTGTCATTGGAAAAAATGTACAGTACAGTATATGTACAGTACATTATCTACAGTATACAAAATTTACCTACACACACACACACACACACACACACACACACAAAATACAGTACTGTATATACAGGAGCTGTAAATATTACAAGAAATCTGTGTGCTACTTATAACAGTTATTTATTACAGTATTTACTTTGCTTAACTACAGTATATTTGTGAATTTGGAAAGAATTATATATTAGACATACTGTACTGTATATCATATGTATCTTTAATATGGTACTTGAACGCTCTCTATAAGTGTATTTGGAACTTCCACTTAACATTTCCCCCCCTAAGAACACTGTGGCTGAAAGTCTTGTATTTATGTTGCCAGTAAAGTCTTCAGGAGAATCCCAGTCAGTCAATGTATTAGTTAGTATGTCCGTGTTTTATTTATCAGTGTGTAAAGATTGTCTTGTGTGTTCGTGGATAAAGTACATATGAAGCCTTGCTGGAGATATAGTTCCTGGGGAGGACATATGCCAGGGAAAGGTCTTCATGTATAGTTGATTTATGCCTTTCTATATATGAGCAGCTTTAGGGGCGTCTGTCTTGACTCTTACACTGTAGGGCGCTTAGTAGCACACGTTGTCTGTCCGTAACTGATCATTTGAGACGGAGAATGTCTTGGGGTGTTGAGACAGGGTGATTGTCTTGAAGTGTAGAGACAGGGAAATTGTCTCGGCGTGTTGAAAGATGGAAATTGTCTTGTTCTCTTGGGGTGTATAGACAGGAAGATTATCTTGTGGTGTTTAGACAGGGAAATTGTCTTGGGGTATTGAGACAGGGAAACTGTCTTGAGGTGTTGGGCTTAACTCGGCTCTCCAACACAGACAGGTGGCTTCGTGCAGCTTGCAGATAGTATGGAGTAAAATATATGTTGGGTAGATATGTTTATAAAATATGATTACATTTTTGTATGAGGGCAGGACTGAAATTGACAGTATCCTGCACATTGCCAAATGTAAAGGCATTATCCTAGAGAATTTATAATTAATCTTAGTGCTTTGATTAAATATACTGTATTTAATTTTACAGGATAGGAGTTTTATATACCTGATTTCAATAAAATATGAAAATTACTGGTTGTTTAAATAATTTCAATCTACATCACAGGTCCATCTCTTTATATGCAATTTATTTTATGTATCTGATCAGGGTATCTCACTGTGAGCTAACTACTGACCTGGTTGGCACACTCAATTAACATCACAATCACCATGTCAACACATTTCCTCCTTCCTCCATCACAAACACCATAATGTCAACACACTTCCTCCTTCCTCCCTCACAGACACCATAATATCAACACAATTCCTCCTTCCACCCTCACAATTTTCATCTTATTCATTTGTTTCTTGAAAGTGAAAATTCCAATCTTCTAAGCATATTTAATTATCGTCCTATCAATAAGTGTAGAAAATACGCATCTATTGTTATCTTCAGGTCAGTAAATCTGTCCCATGTAATGAGCCAAGGTAAGATTATGTTACACACTAGTTAAAGTCCAGTTGGTGTTGTTTCCACTTGATTATTCGTTTCATCTTCCCTTGCAAGAAAAGGAATTCGTTATTACAGGTATTTTATACTCCATGAAGACTTCAGTGAATGACTAATGCAAATGATGTGAATCAGAATTAATGTATTTTGTATTCCAAGTTATGTTAATGCTTAGAATATACTGTAATGCATTGTACAGGTACTTAAATACGATAAATGACTTTCCAATTCCTTTACAATTATCTAGATAGTAAGTAACGTCTTGAAGAACTTAAAATTAAATTTAATTGATGATTCTTTTATTAATTGTTTATCCTTAATGAGTAATGTTTATTAATGTTTCTCTCTTAGTTTAATATTTATAGTATGAAGGGTCTCAAGGACCTGAAAGATATCATTCTTGTCACAGGGAAAATGGTGATGACAGGGTAACAAATAATACTTTTAAATTTAACTACAGTTGGATAATATCAATTATTATTTGTAGGGGTGATTGGATAATAACAAACGTTTCCTACAGGTGTGGCCGGATAATGTCAGAAGCGGAGTCACAAGTGCCGAGAAGGACCTTACCTACAACAGGAAGGTCCCAAAAACATATCAGTGTCACTTCTGTACTTACACCACTACACATCGTTCTCATTTTACCGAGCATTTGCGTACCCACACTGGGGAAAAACCATTCTCATGTCCTTATTGCACTTACCAAACAGGTGATAAGTCTAATCTTAATCAACATATACGTATTCACACTGGAGAGAAACCATTTGGCTGTCCATATTGTTCTTATCGAGCAAATCGAAAAAGCAGCATCAAGAGTCATTTACACACTCACAGATAAGTCGTATGCTTAGACATGATTCATTCACTTTCAGATATAAACAGATGATGCTCTACCTATCAGTGTCCTCCAACCACTCACCATAATGTTGAGCTAGACTTTTCCTGTGATGGTAATTATTTGTTGGATGTAATGAAGAAATATATAAAGGCATTGAAATGAGGCTCCTGCAGAACTCTTGATGATACACACACCCATAATGTATCTGTTGTAAACTTGGCTCTGCTGTAATGTTCTCCTTTATGTGATTCAAACTTTTATATAAATTATTAAAAAGTAATTAAAGGTGCAACTATGAGAAGAGCATTTGCTCAGAAAAACAGTGGATAATTTTAGAGTAAAAAGGTCAAGCAAAAGCAATTATTTAAATGGGAATTATCATTATACCTGAAAATATTTTTAATCGGAATAATCAATTATGTCTTTGAAAATGAATACAGTGTGTGCCTTATCAAGGGTTAGAGCCAAGTCCCCTGGGGCTGGAAATTTGCAAACATCTTTCTGATCCATTCAACTAAAATACAGACACATAAATCCATGTTACCATTATTCAAGATGATGAGAGCACTTTACATACATGGTTACAAGACATCAGGATGAGGGTTCAACTTGTACTACCCAGAAAGACTTGCAGTTGTTGCCGCTGCTTGAGAAAATTCGTAAATATGATAATTGTGACAGTGAGACAACACGCTGGATAACTCAGTGAAAAGTGTAAGAAATAATTGGGTTATTTTACTGTCTTAAAGGTATAAGTGCTGGATTACTGTAATTATGTAACTGAAATTGTTTTATATAATCCACAGTTTTAAACTGTAAACTAATTGTAAAAGAAAGACTATTCACTGATTCTTCGGTCTACTTAATGTAGGACATGAACTGAATCTTTTGTTTTTGTCTTGAGATCATTTGGCAACGTACTGATCTTTTATAAATTTAATGTTTTTATGAGGCTGTTATTATATAGTAAGCAGTAATAATATTGACTGAAACATTAAACATATGTTGTGCACAAAGTTTTTCATTGAATAAGACAAACATTTCCTACAGGTGCACCTGGATAATGACAGTCAAATGTCTGAAGCGAGAGGAGTCACAGGCGCTGGCAAGATTCTCATCAACAGCAGAAAGGTGCCAAAAGTTCACCAATGTCCCCATTGTACCTTCAGGAGTACCAATCGCTCTCACTTTAAGGAACATTACCGAATTCACACTGGAGAAAGGCCCTACTCGTGTCCACAATGCTCATATCAAACAAGTGACCAGTGGAATCTAAAGAGACATATCCGTATTCACACTGGGGAAAAGCCATTCTCATGTCCCTATTGTCCTTATCGATCCAGTGAAAATGCTAAGGTAAAGAGACATCTTCTCACTCATATGTAATACAGTTAATTATTATCCATAGCCAAGTCTCTCAGATCCATCAATTTGACACAGGAGGCACAACAACTGAGCTTGGGGCACCAGACAAGACTTGTATCAATGTTTTGCACTGATAATTGTACAGTAGTGACATGTGTGATAGATTTTGTTTATCATAGTAATATTATTTGTAAGACAACAGAAAATGTTACATACATATAAAGTGTAAGTCTAAATAAAGTTAAATACTTTTCTTACTCGAAGGATTTTATTAACCTTAGTCTTATTAGTTATTATATATATTGTAATTCAGAACATGTGATGTGAAATATATTAGATTGAGGAGTTACAGTACTGTATTTAGATGATGTCAGGTTGTCGAGGATCCAAAAAATGAAAAGGGAACCAAATTGAGCACTTGGGTTACATTATGAAGTCATATTGAATCCAGAATGAAAGTGGAACCAGATTGAGAACTGGGGTTATCATGGATCCAGAATGAAAACGGAGCCATATTGAGGTTAAATTGTGTGAGGAGATCGGGGATCCAAAATTGCAGATCTGTACATGTATGGGAGAAAACTGGTCCAGTACTGTAATGATAGAGAAGGACTGAAGATTGAGAAAGGATGCTGGGAAATTAAGTGATTCCTGGTTTACTGAAAGACACAGGTGAGGGAAAATTCACTGAAAGATATTTGAAACTTCCAGTGATGAATGGGACTTGGAATGTGGATGTGATGGAAATAATTGTTGGGAGATGTAATTTTATGTTAAAAAGCAGTGAGCTGTATGAAGAGTAGGGTGTAGAGGACTGTGTGAGGTATGGAATGATTATAACACAAAAGATGGTACTGTATTGTAGGGTGGGCTGAGGTAAGTGGGAGGGATGGCTGAGATAGTGAGGTTGAAGGACAGTATAGATAGATAGACAGACCAAGGAGTTCAACTTAATGGAGTGAATAGAAGTATCCAAGGATATAGCTGCAAGTGGAGGATTATCCATGAGCTATACAGTAAAGTACTAGCTATAATTAAATTGCAGGGAACTGTTTGGGCTGTATGTTTGGTAAATAGGTTATACTTGACGTAATGACCAAAATTAATTTTGAAAACTTTTCAAAACTTTTCATATTATAGTATGAAACTATTTTACTGGCAATGAATCACATGAGACAGCATATGTATACAGTATTTTTTTCATCAATAATCAGCTTACTAGCCATTCAGGCAGTTGGTTTGTTCTTTTACACTTTATGACTTTCATCATCCAGTGTTAGTACAGGAGGAAACCCGAGCACCCAGAGAATAGATCTCCTCACTCTTGGAGCCGGGGGATGAGAAGTGATCAATAAGTACTGTACAGTGCTTATGCCAATGGGACTTCATGAGCAGGGATGTCAGTGTTGTTAATGTTTGTGTAACTGTGTCAGCAACACAACTCAAGAATGGGAAAAGGCACAAGGATTATACTTGGCATACATACACAGTATTACCATGACAGTACCTGGTGCTGTATTGTGTTGGGGCCAAAAGATCAAAAGTCAAGGTTACAACTTTGCTAAACTCTCTGGTCTGTAGCCAACTGAAGAAGAGTCAGTATTCATACATGACAAACCCCTGAGGTGCTGTGTTTTAGCTGTCAAAAGTTAAAGAATAAGGTCAGCTTTGAAAATGGCACCATACAGTTTGAGTTTGCACCTTACTTGTGTGCAGTTGAATTACAGTATAGTACTGTATTAGTACTGTACTGTATTATACATAGTTTACCTGACTGGTGAGGGTAGGTGTTGATCTATTTATACTGTATAAATTATGAAGATGCAAAAAAGTAAAAGTGGTTTGTGTTTCATAATAAAGATAACTAATTGCATGTTCTTTATTGTAAGAAGTTGATACTACAATGATTGGTACTTAATATCCTTAAAATTATTCCATATAAACGAATTGGGTAATTAATATTGGTTTAAGCCTTTCATCACATTAATGTAGAATTTAATAATCAAATTGTTTGTGTATAATCACTGAGTAAGTATTGTGGATTTTTTATTCAAAGCAATACATAAAATTTTCCCAAATTTGCAAGTTTGTAACTGAAAGACACAAACATTTTCCACAGGTGTTGGTGGTTACTGACAGTCAAATGTCTGAAGAAGGAGGGAACACAAGCAATAGAAGAACTCTCACCAACAGCAGGAAAATTCTCCAGTGCCCTCAGTGCTCTTTCATCTCAATTAATCGCTCTCATTTTATTGAGCATTGTCGTACCCATAATGGGGAAAAGCCTTTCTCTTGCCCAGAATGCTCTTATCAAACAGGTGATCCATCTCACTTAAAGAGGCACATTAGGATTCACACTGGAGAAAAACCTTTTTCGTGTCCACATTGTCCATATCGGTCCAGTGAAAATACTAAAGTTAAAAGACACCTGCTTACTCATAAGTAAGTTTTGTGTGGAGACAATATTTATACTGACACGTGCATAGCAGTTTATGAATACTGTACTGTGTCCTCTTTTCTGGTAATTCATCAAATTACCGGTAATGTCAGAAAAAATGTTGAATGAGGAGCATAATTTGTGATTGGGAAACTTGAAGAGCTTACTCCTGTATAAGCTTGTGCTGCATTTCATGATGAATTGTATAAACCTAGACTGTTTGCTTATAAGTATAGTACACTGTATATAACCTTAGCATAATATATCCTATCAGTTTAGATTTAAAAAAAAAAGAGTATATACAGTAGAAGTTAAATATTATATATACAGTAAAAAAATTTATGCCTTAAGATTTGGGAAACATTTTTAACTTTCATTTGGGGAAATTGTTGTTTACTTAGTACACACAACGTCTCATTGGTGACTCTCAGAAATATATCTTCACAACTTTGTATATTTAGTTATTTATAAGTCAGACTGGTTTTTTTTAGCTGAGTAAGGCTGCAGTGGCAAAAATACTGTATGGAATAAAATTAAAGTTGGAACAGTGGATATGTGGCAGTTTATTAAATGTTGCTGACACATTAAGTCTTTAGGTTAGGTATAGATTTTTTTGGTTTTAAAATGATTACAGTACCTATACTGTACCGGGGTTTTGTCATGACTATTGAGTCACTGCGAGGAATGATTTTAACATATGTGTGATTTTTAACTTAATAAAGGACAGTTTTTATTATTTTTTTCTTTGTCATCTTAAATCAAAATTTGCTTGTATAATATTTGGAAATTAATTACTGTTTGAGTTTTGACATTGTTTTAAAGGGGGAGGAGTTTGAAGGTTGTTTGATAGTAATGAACAAGGAAGTGCTCTGTATATGAATGACCATTAATATTAACAGAGACAAACAAATAGAGTTATACAGTATCCCAAGAAGTATCCCTCCAAAACATTATGAAAATTATGAAGGATATATTCGAATATAGAAATTGTTCTTCATATTATCTTCATATGCTATATAATAAATAGTGAACTGATTGTCTATGGTAAGGTTTTAACGAGTGTATGGGAAATTGGAGATATATTTTCCTTGTGATGATATCCGGTATAATACTTATATAACAAACAGACTACAGTACTAGATGCTAATTTTAGCTGTGATATTATCATAGCCAATAGCCAAACCTCCTTCACCACCACTTTATACATAGAAGCTGAGGGTAGAATGAAGAGAAGAACTGTCGGCTTTATGTAAAAAACAAAACAATAATGGCTATTATAGTTTACTGTACGGTACAGGTAAAATACAAAACTTGAATTTTTTCTTCTATAATTTTATACTCTATGGCTAATAGCACATGTTATGCATACCACAGTCTTTGTCAAAAATGCTGTTGATTAGCTAGAATGTAATGAAGATTATTACAATGAAATTATGAGATCAGAAGTTTGTGTTTGCTACATAATTGCAGTCCGTACAAACAGGGTAGTGCAAGAAAAGTATTCTGAAAATTTGTTTTACCTTTTATAACATGACCCAGTTGGTGTACATATTGGATTACTTTTCTAAGTACAATAGTAATACTGTACTGTACTTGGTCACCAAAATAACCGAAGGCAAACTTTTCCTTTTTCTTTTATATTATACTTCTGGTTCTCTTGGCCATGGTCAGAAATGTCAACTCCTTGCAGTCTTTCAGTGCAGGTTGTGTCAGTAACAGGAATGGTTTTCCATTTTAGTAAACATTGAGTAGAGCGATCCAGACTCAAATTGCACCCTTACAGACACACCTGCTAGCCCACGGGGCTAGTGGGAAGAAGTTAGGTGGTTGATAGGGCCGGTTCTTTGTTTCAGCATTTCTACGAAGGAGAGGGGGGGGAGGTGCTCTCAGTGTGAGATATGACTGAGCGGGAGGGGTCAGATTAGCACGGGAGCGCTTAGTGATGCAATCTGCATTGGAAGATCATGAAAGGGTCAAGGAAAAGCAACTGGTGATTGTGTAGTTGTGTCTGCCATTCATCTTCGCACTGAAGCATCTCATGATGGTTTTGGGCAAAGTACTTCATTATGTGCTGTGTCTACACCTACATCTGTACCTTTACTTATATTTCTCAGCAAAATATCTGTTACACTATGAACCATTACTGTGCAAAGCCACACAATATTCAGCCAACATTTTCTCACTGGCTCATTTATCTGGGCAGTTGTAACTAAGTAATTAAAGAATAAATATACTGTACATGATAAAATGACTAATGATTTCAAAATGATGTAACAAATATATTTTTTTAATGTTATTGATTTTTTTCGCCATAACTTCAATACAGTATTTGGACTGGACTGAGTTTTGCCAGTAACACTTTGATTATTCCCCTTGAGCTGAACAAGAAACTCTGACATGTTAAACATTTTCTGACAACCCCTCTACTGTACTACTGTATTAATATTTCTTTGTGTGAGATTTGTGATAAGTATTCACTGGCTTGATATTTGAAGCTGTGAAAAAAGTCCAGTGACTAAGAATTTCTTTACAAAGTTCAACACAGTAATGCTTATGAAGATGAAAAATATTTTATGACCTCAGTATAATACAGTATGTACTGTACTGTAATATATATGGACCACTAACCAGACATTTAGTTGTTCAATTTTTGCACGGATTCTCTCTCGTAAATTTGGGACCGTCACCTTTATGAAGTAAACGAAACTCATTAGTGTTTCAAATCCAGCAGACAAATGTGTTTTTATATCAACACCAATGCACAGTGATTGTGCATGAAGACTAATTTTATGCAGTTGTTTTAAATATGCTTTTGGTACATAAGCATATTTTTATAGTATATGCATAAGCTTACTTAGTATAACTCTGTAGTATTATCTAGATTTATATTTTGCATTTAGAGACTAGACTGAATAAGATGAACATTTTCTACAGGTGTGGCTGGATAGTAACAGACAAATGGTCAACGCGGGAGGAGGTTCACTCTCTGGCAAGATTTACGCCAACACCAAAAAGATGCCAAAAATCCACCGGTGTCCTTTTTGTACCTTCTTTAGCAAAAATCGTTCCCATTTTATAGAACATTGTCGCACTCATACTGGAGAGAAACCTTTCTCTTGTCCACAATGTTCATACCAAACTGGTGATAAATCCAATCTGAAAAGACATATTCGTACTCACTCAGGGGAGAAGCCTTATTCCTGTCCATATTGTCCTTATCAATCCTATGAAAATACTTATATTAAAAGACATTTACTCACTCACATGTAAACTATTAATCTACAAGACAGAAATTATACAGAAGAAACAACTTTATATCATTAATGTAAGAGGCTTGGTAACACTGCAACACTACACCACTAATGTAATTGTTACTAAAAAAAAAGATCTTGGTTTGTATTGAATTAAAATTACTGTAGTCAGTTAGTAAGTTTATCTCCTTTTGAATAAACAACAAATTCTGTATACATACACACACAGTGGTAATACACTAATGTCCTCATATGGAAAATTAAGTTACGTGAAGTTGCATTAAAGTTTTAAAGTTTATCATAATCCACGTTTGACCAAAGTGGTGTTTAGTTTACTGTACTGGTATAATATACTCCAGGTTTGTGTACAGTATATCCTCTCTTTATCCATTACAGTACATCTCATATAATCACTGTCCATTTAATTATCTATGATGCTGTAAGTGTACAGTATATCACTGAAAACACATCATCTTCAGTTTTCCTGGAAATGAGGATGGATTCTGTTGTATAACTTACTTGACTGCAATAGTGTGAATGATTTCTTTGATAAAATGGCTTTCAGGAAATTTAAACCACACTAATAGATTAAAGTCGAACAAACTTATATGGATGTTGGCACTTACCGAGCAGTGAGAGTTAGAAAAGTATGTCTGTTTACTGTTTCTTCAAAATAATCTCACTAAGTTACACTTTTGATTTCACTTGCATTTAGTGTATAATTATATACTGACTGAATAAAATAAACATTTCCTGCAGGTGTGGCTGGCTAATGACAGTCAAGAAGGAGTCTCAGGTGCTGACAAGATTCACATCAGCAACAGAAAGATGGCAGAAATACATCAGCAGTCTTACTATGCTTATATGAGTACAAGCTCCACTAACACTACAAAGCATCGCACAATTAATTCTAGAGAAAAAAGTTTTTCGTGCTCCCTTTGCTCATATGAAACAAATTTAAAGTCTAATTTAGCTAGACACATTCGTATCCACACCGGAGAAAAGCCATATTCATGTCCGTACTGTCCTTACCGTTCTCATGAAAAGCCAAAGATTAAGAGACATTTGCGGACCCACATGTAAACTGTTGTCTTACTGTACTCTTGTTTCATTGCATGTGTTTTAATATACAGTATTTCAGTAATGTTGCAGTTTAGTACAGTAGTAAATACTTATACATGAAACAAAGGAATTTTATAAACAGATTAATATACCGGGGTTATGCACACTAAAGTTCACTTCCTTGCACTCCAGTTATGCTACTTTAGAAGCTTTATCAGGTAAAATGTAATATAAGAATCAAAACAGGCATCAGTCACTATCATGTGGTGAAGAGGTTTCTACAAAAAAGTAAATATCTCTACATAAATAAACAGAATTCTCTAACATTATACTGTTCTTTCTTGGAGTTTTTAACCTGTTGCCCTTTTCATGTACTCCATTAAAGTAACTATCAACTGAAAATATTGGGACCAAGAGGCTTCTGTAGAATGGATCATTATGTACAGTGGATAGTATGGTGAGCATGTGTCCAAGGAAAGCATGTTTAATACACCATAGTTCTTGAGGCAGTTTGGTTATATATTAATAGTGTCGCGAATACTGTCAGTGTTTTTAAGTCTACAAATAGGCTTTCATTGTGTCATCATTTTCCTACAATCACCACAAACTTACTCCTCAAACTCATGTGAAGAAAAATAGACACATCACTCACATCACCACACAGTCACTGAGTCAGTTGCCTGATTGTTCAATTTCTCCTTATGTACTCTTATGTAATACAGTATATGTAAAAATATACAAAAGAAAGTTATTCTATATCATAAATTTTATATCTATAATACTCAAGTCTTTCTTAAAGTAGATTTTTCGTTGACAGCTACTTTACTGTACGAGTCATTATTATGGTTTATAGTTCTTGCTTTGTTAATACACCAATACCAATGGTCACTGTAGTAAATTAAGACAACCATTAAGTGTCTGATTTAAGCAGGAAGGAATCAATGTTTGGCAATGGTCAGTTCCTGCTGAAATGATGCGCTGTTCAGTGATGCTTTGTTTTGGTTCACCAGAGAATATCCTGGCAATGAGGCAGGACAACTTCTGGCATGGAAATCAAACCTTGACAATAGTGCATAACTTGGTATGATGGAGAATACAGTACAGTAATAGAAACAATGTCATATAACTGAGGAAATTAATATATATAGAGGAAAACATATCTTATTTTACAGATATATTATGAGGTGTATTATTTCTATTATGTTTATGTAGTTTCTCCCTTTATTTTTTTCTCTTAGTTTCCCTCTGCTTCAAAGTTCTGTCTGATTATGAATTTGATTTAAAACAAGGAACACTAGATGTGGTTCATTAATGGTATACAGTACTGTACTGTACACAGAACTGATCTCTATACTCCATTTATCTGTACAGTACTGTACCTTATTTTGATAGCAGCTTGTTTGTTTATTATATGAAGAATCTTTGACTTAAACTGCAACATTACTTTATCTGATCTGTTAATGGAGTTTTTCAGTTTCCAATAGGATGCAACTTTAATGTTTGAAACTATTTGTTTTTTGTCAGGAGAAATCTAAGCTTAATTTAGAGGTACACACGGTGAAAAAAATATCTGTCCAGATGGGTCTGATGAATTTCAATATTATCAATATGACTCCTATTGTCTCAGTAGGGATGTCAAAATCCTTCATCCGTGGTTTCGTATTATTTCACATAAAGTGTGGATAGATACAGTACAGTACTTCTTTTACCATGTGTACAATAAAGAACTGTGTGTGATAAACAATGGTCACATTGAAGTATATGTGATAACAATAGTTTAAGTTCTCTTTTCTTCTCTAAAAATGTCCTGTTGTGAAGAATTATATAAAGAATGTATTTTCCATTACCATAATAAAGGATTACTGTATTTCTTTTCTCATTTTTCCTCTTTACATTAAAACTTGGGTAAATCATATTTACTTATCTATATTTCATTTGTGCAATTACTGCAGATCTCAGTTATATTTCTTTTCTTGGTTATGTGATTAAACAATAAGTAATGAGCCTAAACTTAGCTTATGAAATTGTCACTGAACAAGATAAAAATCCCCTACAGGTGCGGCTGAATAGTGACAGTCAAATGGCTGCCGACAGAGGAATGACAGCATCTGGGAACATGCTCGCCAGCAGCAAAAAGATGCCCAAAATATATAGATGTATTCACTGTCCCTTCATCAGTACAAAACGCTGTAATTTTGTTGAACATTTCCGTACCCACACTGGAGAGAGACCCTTCTCGTGTCCTCAGTGCTCTTATAGGACAGGTGTCAAATCAAACTTAAAGAGGCATGTTCGTATCCACAGTGTTGATAGAACTCATTCTTATCCATAATTTGTATATCTCTTACTGTAGTAGCATATGGATTATTTTCATTCATTTTTAGAATTCTAGACATATATAGTTTTTGTTTTTTCCATGCCAGTATTTTTCTTGTGGACTGTTAAAGTTTCATGGATACTGTGAAGGTTCAAATTGTGATACTGTTACCCTCATGATAGGCTTCAAGTGTGCTGTATGAATATAAGCATATGTATTAAAAGTTTATATACCGTATACAGTATATTTATAAAATATTTACTCTGTAGTTAAGGAGATACAGAAACATTGTAATACTGTACTAACTTTTTCAGTTTCATTTGTTGTGAAAAAGGGATTGTTTTCATGAATTTGATTATAAAATAAAAAATTATTCACAATACATATTGACTGTATTTTGAATTTACCTGATATTGATAAATTGTATTTTGTTATGAATTATATTAATCATGTTTCACTAGCTATTGTAATGCAGTATTAGAATTTAATGAATGCAATACAGTACTGTTATATACAGTCTACTGTACTGTATATTTCTTTATAGGAAAGTTGCAGATTCTTCTGGTATTACATGTATATAATACAGTACAGGCACTTAAGTATTCACACGCTCTCACTGATTTTGTAAGAATATAATGGTAACGATTCCATAAGGTGTCAAGGACTTTGAACTCTTAAAAGAAAGTCAAAATGGAAAAAAAACTGCATGTGTGTTGATCTGTGTTTTAGTTATATCAGTTAACTGGAAACTACAGTTGATAATACAGTACAGTACAGTGTTGTACAAATACAGAAAATTTTGTTTTTCTATAAATTTTTGACTGAATGAAATAAACATTCCCCACAGGTGTTGCTGGACAGTCATATGGCCAACGAGGCAGGAGCCACAGGCGCTGGGAGGAATATCTTCGACCACAGAAAAATCCCCAAAAGACACAATTGTCCTCAATGTAAATTTAGTAGCAGCAATAAAACACATTTTATAGAACACTATCGTACTCACACTGGAGAGAAGCCATTTTCTTGTTCATTTTGTTCATATCAGACAGGTGATAGATCAAACTTAAGAAAGCATGTTCGTATTCATACAGGAGAGAAACCTTATGAGTGTCCGTACTGCTCCTACAAATCAAAACAAAACAGTAGCCTTAAGTCCCACATACGAACACATCTCCAAACTCCTTAGTATTACCCGTAGCAGTGTTAAGTGATGGTCCTTATATACGGTATATACAGTATACCTAAATATCTGCACTGTAATGATTATAGTCTTTCTATAGTCAGTTGTGTCCAAGGAAACATTACTTCAGAAAGAAAACTGTACTGTACTATAGACAGATAGGAGGAAGAAGCAACTTAGAGTTTGAGTAATGTTAGAGAAATGATGAAGGATTGTTGTGAATATATTTGAGTTGTGTTTAAAATGGTAATTTTACACTTACACTGGTCTTGCCAGCCTGCACAGTATGTGATATACTATAATTGTACAGATGTTCCAACAATGCATTTACTATGTACAAAAATTTATTATATATACAATACTGTATATAAGGGTGAAGATAGTAGTGGTGAGATGGGTGTAATGTTTAAGTAGTGGTTGTGTTAGTGGAGAACCACTGATTGTGTCCAGGTAATTATGTGGTGATGATGGTAGAGCTGTCATCTCCCTGCCCTTTTGAACCACGAACTCCAAGATTCAGATTCATGAACCCCGGGATTCAGACTCATGATCCCCAAGATTCAGTCTCATGGATTTCGATACTCAGACTCATGAACCTGAAGCAGTAGACTGATCATTCTGTCCATAAATGCTTCGAATTCATGAGCCTGAATCTCGAGGTTCATGAGTCTGAATCTTGGGGTTCATGGTTCAGGGGGAGAAGCAAACGAACTGTAGTAGTTTACTGTACAATACTGTGACGGTGGTGGCAGTTAAGAGGAAGAATTTAATGGGGATGGTAGTGGTGATGTTAATGTTGAGTTATTGGTGCAAGTAAAGGCAGTGTTGGTGCTTGTGGCCCTGAAGATGGTGTGATTGTGATGGAGACAAGAAGAAGATGGTGATGAAGGTTTGTGATAAGACCAAGTTGTTGTTGGTGGTGGTGTCCAGGTTGTGAAAATGGTAATGATGATGATGAGGTAAAGAGAATGGTGGTCTTAATGGTTCTGTTGACGTCCCAGATTATGACTTGGCCTGTAGAAAAAGATAAATAATGGGTGAAGAAATATTCTTATAGTCATCTATACTGAAGAGGAGTGTGCTGTGAGGTAATGATGATAGGGATAAGAAAGCAACAGAGATGATGGCTTCTGAGGTAAGAAACTGACGAGAGTTGTGGGAGGTACAATGGTGAAGACGGAGTTAAGAAGTGACCATGGTAATGAGGTCGTGAGGGATAAAAGGTGTTCATACAATGTTATAGTAAATGAAGGGTAATTGGCAGGATTATTAAACTAGTTGTATCCAGGAATATTCAGATGGTAGTCGTTGTGAGAAAGCATCAGTGGCAGATTTACATTATAGTATTTCCATTCACTACCTGGGTGCCCCTGAAGTGGCCCCATGGTTGCAATATTGTGGCAACCTTGCCCACAGGCAAGGGTGTATACCAGTACTAAGATGGCTCAGTTTCACACACAAAATTTGTTTGCAAAACTACTACCATTGATTTCTCCACTAACAATCAAACTTAACCTAAGCTGTAATTTATATTTATAACGCCAAAAATTCAATCATGACCTCAATGTTTGGAGATTGATACCTACAGGTCCTTGAAAAAACTTTAGGTACACAAATTTCTTAATCTATATATCATATCCAAGAAGAGCAAGGCAAAAAATTTCAGAATACATATATGTGTCCAAGGAAACATTACTTCAGAAAGAAAACTGTACTGTACTTTGTTTACAACCAGACTCCTGCAGGTTATGGATGTACTGTACTGGAGAACTATAGACAGATAGGAGGAAGAAGCAACTTAGAGTTTGAGTAATGTTAGAGAAATGATGAAGAATTGTTGTGAATATATTTGAGTTGTGTTTAAAAAGTGGAAATGTGTTAAAGGATAAAAGTATGACGATTTTATTTTGAAAGGTAGTTGGGTGAGAACTTTGAATCAAATGATGTTAAAACACTATGGGACCACAAGAAGAATATTTTACTAGAGGCTGCTTGTACTGTAGTGTGTAGGGGTGTACATGATGGATGTGTACAGTGAAGAAAGTATAAGTGCTGTAGGAATAGATGTTAAGAGAAAACCAGTAAAGATGTGGTGGAGAGTGTCTGGGTTATTGGAACAGACCATAATGAATTTTGCCTTGCCATGTGTCCTGTAACAGAGATAAACAGTCCTGCAAATGTTACCCATGAGTTACCACAAATAATGTATATACCACCATTAAACCATTTAGCAAGAAACTCTTTGTTTTCTTACATCCAGAGATAATGGTATGTTTATCCCTGAAGAACTGTATTAGAGGAGAAGTCCGTTTTAAGTGATTAATCTGCTGTTTACCCGACCTTTGGCGGATCAAGGCACCTACGTAACCCTAAGTGTGAGTGTAGAGTATTCTACAACATATTGTACAGCATAGCATTTGTATGTACAAACAAAAGCCAACTTGAGTTACTCCTGTAATATAGCACAGTCTGTTAGGTTTAAAACCCAAGTAATTCAATCAACTGTAGTAACTATGACTGATTTATTGATTAGTTGCCCTGTATACCCCCTGTCATAACCAAGTCCCCCATTAGGGATCTTTTGAAACATCAGTGGACATTTAAGATAGAAGGAAATGAGTACGTATTGGTGTCACATAAGCACATGCACACTGTGTTTGTCAGCTGAAGGCTCAGTCATAGCCAGCATTCCAGGCTTCAATCACTCAGTTCCAGCAACATCCCTGTGTTGTACAGAGGTTCCCAGTGGCATTGTCTCTTAACAACTCTTGCAGGGAAATGGAGTGGAGTGCTTTAGCTTCAACTTTTACTGTATCACTGGCAGAGTTTTGAGGTTCATCGTAACAATTCTCATTGGTATTTTTAATTACATTGTACAGGTATTTGTAAGGTTAGTTATGCCAGTGTTTACGACTGTACTGTACAATAAACAGGTCAGTTAGTTTTGGCTCGGTCATAAAATGGGATTTCTGGATCAATCTTCCTTCTGTATATTCAGAAACATTTCTTTTCAGTCTTTAAGCAAACAATTCATAAGTTTACTCTTTGTGTTTTTGGACCAACTTAATTGAACTGTGTGTTTATATTAGCTGTAGCTTTTAAACTTTGGTTTGATATCCGTACTGCATGCAAATTATTTTATGTATTAAGAAAAGAGCATTCATCAATCAATCTTCTATACTGTAATGCTGTACTGTACTGTATTAGGTTCTCAGCATAAAACCAAATTTTTTTATAAGGTAGATTAAATGTATACTGTACTGTAGTATGGTATAGGTATAACTGTTGAATGAATTAATATACATCTATGTAAAAATTATATTGTGTTACAGTATTTACAATGATGGTAAAATATTAATCATATTAATTTTGTAAAATTTCATTAAGTAAAATCTAGTGTGGGTAACTAAGAGAGGCCTTCCCTACAGGTGTTGTGGGAGAGAGGCAGTGTTGGGCGGGAAGGCAGTTTGGAGCCTTCCAGGGGCACACAGAAACTACACCACTGTCCCTACTGCTCCTATACAACAGTTTATGCCACTAATTTGAAGAACCATACCTTGACGCACACAAATGTTAAGCCATATGCCTGCCCTCATTGCCCTTATCGTTGTATTCAAAAAGGCAGTCTAAAGGTCCATCTTTGTATACATACCGGGGAGAAGCCATATTCATGCCCTCGCTGCCCCTACCAGTCCTCCAGTAGCAGCCACCTCAAGAGACATATTCGCACTCACCTTACCAAACCCGATGTTATACAAAGAGAAGGGGAGGGTCCATTTACAAATTAAATTCTAGTATTGGAAGGGGAGTTTACAGTATATATTTTTCCATTGTAATTTAGTTTCTCTTAAGACAGTTTTAGTTTACTCTCAGAGATTACTTCAAATTAGTTAACATCTGAGTCTGAGATGATGTGCTGGACCAAGAAACTTCTGGTATGTTTTGATATTCACAACAAAGTTCATACACACAAATTAGGAAAAGTGTTGCAGATGGTCATTAGGATGTCTCTTAGTCAACAAATATTCAGATTATTGTGTTTGTTAATAAAACTATAGTGTATTATGTAGTACGCATTACATTATGAAAAGAGTTAATAAAGTTTTTATTTGAAGTGGAAATTGATTGTTTACATGTCAAACAATAACAGTCAACAGGATTCAGTAGTGTACTTGATACAAGGGTACATTATGTAAGTACCTGTGCAGTACAGTACAGTATACCATTTATTCTATACACTGTAGGTGAAATATATGTTCAAAGTTAATACTTTTTTGACAAGAAGATTGTGCTTATTGTTGCATAATTACTGTGAAATGTGTATTTTTTTTTATTCTATAAAAAGACTTAGTACAGTACAGTATATCCACAGAAGGTACAGTAATAAAGCTATATACAGTACTGTACTGGTATGTCTGTACAGTACTTACATGGAAGTGATTCCTATTTTATTTTCGTGATGTATGAAACCTTGGATGGAGTTGTGGCTGTAAGCCGAGGACCAGAAAGGATTAAGACATACAGTACAGAAGTTTCATTAATCAGATTTTCTTAACATTGCATCTACAGTTGCAGGCAGCACGGGGAAATAGTTTGATTGAAAATTTCATTGCGGTGTTTTAAATCTGAGCAAATCTTTGACTCCCATATTTCTCACTTCGTCACTTATCATCTAGTATTTTGAATATCTCAAACTTTTATATCTTTTTATGTCTGTTTTATCTAATGGTTCTATGGTCTTAGTACTTTAGATCTCAATAGGCCTTTATGTAATGTGCTGTCAAGTCTGAAAAATAGGCTTCACCTTCACTTCTTACAGTTTTACAACTCCTAATGAAATCATATTTGATACTAAACTATTTTGTTCTTTTTACTGTAATTCTATGGCCATTTCCTCCTTTTGGGTAGTTGCATTTCTTGTTATTGTGTTGTGCTATGCGCCTCTCCTCTTCTGTACTATTATTCTTGTTTTTTAATTTAATTCTTCACCATATTTATGTGCCTAAGATATGTGTGTTTATCTCCCTGAATTTTACTCATTTCTCAAATTAATCATTTTCTGTGATAGTAAAATTAGTTATGGTAATATAAACCAAGAAAGTGTGCCCTAATACTTTTACCTTATGAGCACAGACTGTAACAAAGATATTTAATTTTTGTTTGTGTGTTTGTCCATTTAACATGTTTTCAGATGGCTGTCCATTGTGTCAGTTTAAAGCCTATACTATACTGTACTGTATTGTACTTTCAGATTCCCCATTAGTGCTTCCTAAATTACCAGATAATTTTCCATCAACATAACCTCCACTGTTTAATGTAACATTCCCATTGTCCTGATGAATCATTGAACTTATTTTAAATATTTTCAGCAGTGTAAGTACTGTACAGCATTTTGTTTTCTCATCATCCATGAAATGTCCACAGCTAATGTTTGATTATAATAATACTCTGTATAAAGAAATGCATATCAAGTACAGTATTCAAGACATTAAAACTGACGGTATGGTAAACCCGAAATTTTTGGTTCCTATACATTTTAAGTATCGTGTAATTTTTCAAAGGTTTGTTGCAAACTGCTTATACGTAAATTGATTTGAATTCATATTATTAATTCTTCTCTTGTATGTGAACACAGAGTACAGTGTACTTATATGCAGTGTTTTGTTGTATATTGGCATGAAAATCATGAGGATTTAGATGATACAGTAATATTACTGCAAAGGTGAATAAGCTGAGTGTACCCTACAGGTGGATCAGCAGAATGAGAGCAGCACCAGCCTCGGAGGCAGCAATACCCTGACCAACACCACCATACACCGCTGCCTCTACTGCCCATACACCACCCCAAGAAGATTCTTATGGACTAATCACATGCGAACCCACACTGGAGAGAAGCCTTTTGCATGTGCATACTGTAACTATGCTGGAGCCACAAAGGAATATCTAAAGAAACACATATTAACTCATACGGGAGAGAAACCATATCCCTGTCCCCATTGTTCTTATCGGGCTTCTCAGAGCACAACCCTCTACCATCACCTTCGTACTCATACCGGAAAAAAGCCTCACAGATGTGACTACTGCAGGAAAGGCTTTTCAACCAAGAGATTATTAGATGACCACATTTTAAGACTTCACTCCCAGAACACTGGATAGTTTTGCCACACAAATACCTCTATATAAGTGCTGTTGCAAGATGATGGAAGAGCTTATCAATATTCACAGCACAGTTCTGTATATATAACATGATGGTATGGATCTTAAAGTTTATGAAAATAACCATAACTGGAAAACATCATTGCTGAATTTCTTGGCAAAACTTTGTGTCAACTGCCTAAGGTAAGATGAAGGTTCATAATGAGGCAGTGTGGTGGGAGATAACTGCTCATCACCATCAGTGTTATGTAGTGTTCTATACTGCAGATATTTTTTTAATAATTCAGAGAACACTCTTAACTTTTACCACCATAGTGTCATTTTTGGGACACCTACCTGTATATTTATACAGGTTTAAATTGTACAGACATTAATCCTTTGGCACAGTACTAAATTGAATAGCCATTACAAGGTATTATAGATGTTGTCATCTGTACCATCCTTAGTGCAATATCATTTGATGTGGTCCATTTGTAAATTTAAGAAAATAAAGGTCAGAAGCACTTCTCTCCAAGGGATTTTCTAGAAATTTTACAAGTACGGTACAGAGTGTAAACCAGGTAAGACAGGGTTTCAAGAAAACTCATTGGCATGAACAGTACTGAATAAAGTATTAGAAAAATACACAGCCAACCAGCTTGAGGCAGATATGATGATCGTAAATATAACTAACAAAGCACATACATCTCAATGAGATAGACTGTTGTGTCTTATAGGAGAATGTAAAAGAAGTCAATAGTTTTTCTTTTTATTATAAATTATAGATACATATAAATATACTTGTTATATTATACTTATAGTCATTAGATACAGTATTATTGTACTGTATAGTATGGTATCAATACTTTCTATGTTTAGGTCAAGTATTTAGTAAATACCTGCACAGGGTACTAGTTATTTTTGTATAAAATACGTAATGGTAAAATGGGGTTATTTTCACACTACAGGTATCAACTTAATTCTTCTCATAAAAGACTATTTCTATCCTGATTCAAGTTACTTGTTTGTGATTACTGTACAGTACTGCACTGTACTGTATTAGTTTTTTCTTCATTGCAATATGCAATATACTGTGCTGGTTCTGTACAGTATATGGTACAGTGTATATTTTTAATTAAAGAGGCTACAGTATACTATGTTATATACAGTATATTTTATGCATATATTATATCAATATAATTTGTAAAGGTGACATAGAGCAAAATAGGGCTACTGTATTTTATCTATTCCCTCATCCATTCCAGTAGTATCAGTACAGTAACTGTTTATTATACAGGATTATTTATTGACACTAAGTAATAATTATATAAACATTTGGGTTTTCTATATTTTTTTTCACCATTTAAGACTGCCAAAAACATTTCATTTGGGTTGAATAATCTTAGGAAGCTGCTGTCTTTTATGAACCACTAGGAAGGCTACTGTTTCCTTCTTTATTATCAAAGTACTGTATGTCATTTTTCATTAACTCCTTCACTATGAGGACGCCACTTTGTTATACAGTGCGTTCTTGTTCCAGTCTTTCACTTCTTGTTCTCTCAATTTGTCCAGACCACCTGTGCATACCGTGAGCTTCTCTCTGCTTGACGTTCTTCCATTTCCACTCTCCTCCATATTTCTTCATGTTTATACAGCACTCTTATTCTCTGCACATTATTTACCCAACTTATTGATCTTAATCCTTAAATAGTAGCCATTATCAGTGGAAGTTAGCTGTAGGGATGGCAGCCATCATATGTTTTGTATAGTACAGTGGCAGGCATGAACCAAATGAATATGTTGAGCATTGTTGTAAAAGAGGAGTACTGCAGCATTAACTCTCTCAAGCACTGTTGGATTTATCTAACAAGAGCGAGTCGAGCCTACACTAGGACTGAGGGATTATTTCCTGCGATGGAATTTAAAATTTTTTTGCTATTCCCACAGCTTCAGCTGACTGGTCATATCACTGCTATAGTCCCCAGGAAACTGTGTACCTAGATTTGCCTGACAATTTAAATTTCACGATATTTGAGATAAGTTTAATTCTGATCCAAGTGTTGCCATTTTGCCGTCTGTCACTCCTTGCCGGTGAACTTATGAAGCTAGGTAATTCCCTACAACTAATATCTGCTTGTTATTTGTGTTTCATATTCAGCAACTTCTAATAAGGCAGCAACAATGAAGAGTAACTCAGTCAGGAAGTGGACCTGGAGATAAATATTATGAGCCTCGGCTAAGGTGAATAATGAATCAGCAGCAACTGTTTTGTGTCATTTCATTCTCAGCTCAATAAATAAACTTAAAACCCTCTGATTTATTTTAATTTCCTAAAAAAAAATCCAGAAAGAGGGGGGTGCAGGAGTATGAAAACCTACTTATGAAAAAATGAAGATGGAAAATACTTAAATATCCCGGTATATACACTATATATAGTACTGTACATTATTATCACTTTACTGAAATACTTTAACAAAGATCTTATTTATACTGGTATACATATGTAATACCTGTACTACAGTACTGCATTCTGGAACATTACCATAAGCGCAGTAAATTACATTTATTCATTAACTTACTGTAATATGCAATATGCCTAATAACACATGCATGTATCATTTGTGCAATTAATATTAACAAAGTCTTACTGCTCCACAGATAGGCAATGCAGGAGGTGCCAACACCCTACGCTGTCCTTGCTGTGGCTACTCTACATCTTCTCGTAGTCATATGGAGATCCACGTGGCCACTCACACTGGGGAGAAGCCATTTGCCTGTCCACACTGCCCCTTCAGAGCTGTCCACAGTGCCAATCTCAAGACACACCTAAGAATTCATACTGGTGAAAAGCCATTTACATGTCCTTATTGCCCGTATTCAGCGGCACAGAAGGAAAAATTAAAAGCACACATTCGAACACACACAGGTGAGAAACCCTTTGCCTGTGAGCACTGTCCATACCGATCAACACGGAAAGACCATCTCAAGAGTCACGTGAGACTGCGACACACCCGACGAACAATCCTGCCTCCTGTGATTGAATAAACATACTGCTCAGGTTTGTTTATCCAGTGATCAGCTTGAGATGTACAGTAAGGTCTTTATTATATCAATCAATCTGTAGTGTTCAGTTTTATGAAAAATAGTGTAATCATTATACAGTACAGTACAATAATTTTTAACCCCTAAAGTACAGAACAGTATGTGCTGAATAATAACAAGCAAAATGGACATATTTTGCACAGTTTCATTTTCTTTTATCGAGCTGTATCCCTCAACATTATGATATTAATTATTGTACTATAAATATTACTGTAATACTGGTAATTATATTTGCAATAGTAACAATATACTGTACAAGTACTGTATACAGTTCAGTATAGTGATTATATAAGTATTTTGGCTCAGACACATTATCAATCAGAAATTTGTTATCCATTGTTAAAATTTCTTTCCTCATTTACTATAAAAATCTAATGATACAATATTATGCTTTAAATGTATTCATTTCCCTTTGAACTTTGTCCAAATCCTTTTTGGAATCTATATTTGTAGCTAGACCAGGTGCAGCCTCCCTAATGACACACACACACACACATGCTAATGCATGTGTGTTTACATACATTCATATACAGGTACAGTATACATACTTTGCATACTCTTTCAAACACACACGTACCCACATATATAGAGACAAATACAGATACATATATACAATATGTTTGTAAAAACCAAATTTTACTACATAGGACTTTACTCAGGTACTTTCTTCCACTCTGTGATGTAATGAGTTAAAGTAACACTATTTTACAGGTGCGTAGAGGCAGGTGTGCCAGGCATCACTGAGTTCCTCACCACTGCAGCCGTTGGCTTCTCCTTCCTACTGAAGAAAACTTCCCGACCTGTTTTATTGTTGTCAACTTTCTGATGTGCTTATACAAGAGAGAAGTTGTATGTATTGGTGCAGTGAAGCTTTACTTGCTATAGGTGTTGGGCAAAAGGTTTTATTTAAGTGGTTAACCAGAATTTGAGGTCTTTCAGGCACACTAGGTCTGCCATATGAACTTATTTAATACAGGAATCACTGTATTAACATTAGTGATGCTGGTTGTTTTCTGTGCAGGGAGCATGGTATATACCTCGGTTTGTTCTAACTATTAATTTTTTTTTCAGTTTTGTGACAAAGTATAGTACAGTAGTTTATGTCTTTATTTCTATTGATGAATTTTTTATTTTGATTATATTTTTCAAATTGCATTTCATAATTTTTTTGGGGGAAAAAATGCTTATTGGAGTGCCTGAACTTGCCTAGCTTATACTACAGACGGGCAAGGGGCGACCTAATTGAGGTATATAAGCATCTCAAGGGGCACTACTCAGTCGAGTGTCCTTACCTGGAACTGGCGGATGCTCGCCCTACAAGGGGTCACAGCCCAAGGTTGAAGAAGCCGCAGGCCCAGAAAACTGTGATGGGTAACTTTTTCGGAGTGAGAGTTGTGAACTCTTGGAACAATCTGCCAGAGTGTTGTGAAGGCACCGAGTGTGAGCTCTTTCTAGATCAGACTTGACCAACACTGGAGCAGGTTCAGATACATTCAGGAGCCGGTGCATGCCCAGTACTTGCCAATAGTGCATAACAGAGACGTGACCGACCGCCCAAATGGCTAACGAGCCAATCAGTGGTGAAGAGGTTAAAAGTAAAAGTAATTACATGTTATATTTAAAGGAAATGAGCATTACATATATAATAATAATAATAATAATAATAATAATAAACGGTTTATTAATAGAGTTGCAGCCGGTGGCTGAAAATATACAGACTTACATTTAATTTAGACATAATGATATAATATGTATTGAATACATTTACAGGGCTGTGCAGTACATAAATCAGGAGTTGTTTATTATTTTAACAATAGATGGGATGGTGCTGTTCTTATATCTATCGGTGCGGGCTCTTATGGGCTGAATTTTGTTGTAGTGGCGGACTGCGCGAGGTGGGTGGGGGGCTGCAGGTGGCAGGAGGTGGCGATGGCGAGGGTGGTGCAGTAGTCCATGGCCAAACCTTTCCAGTGCTTGGTGGTGGAGGTCACTGAGGGATGGCATTTCCAGGGTGGAGAGAGCGATGGTGTAGCACTTTGACTTGCTACAGCATGTTTTAACAAAATTATTTACTAGCCATTTATATCTTTTGAATCCAGCTTCATGCTTCAACAAAACTCTCCAACATTTTCTTGCATTTTCCAATGATTTACCTTATTTAGAGATGTCAGGAAAAAGTCCACTAAGTGAATTGAGCAGCAGCAGCAACAAGAGACCCCATTAAGCCATAACTTTACATGCTAAGTTGAAGGTGATATGCGTATGAAGGATGGTAAAAAGACGATGTCCATCAGTTAAGTTTTAGGAGTAACTCATTTGACGGTGGCAACTATTATAAAAAATAAGGAGAAAATCAAGTTATGTAAAGAGTGTACCAACTACATTTTCAAGTTTTATGCATGCAAATATTGAAGTTATAATGCAAAGTCATTTAATAGTATTGTTTGTTGAAGAAGTTTAATTTTTGCAGGAGTGTATCTCCCAATTTATTATAATAATAAATTGGTAAATACAGTTTGATTTATGATTGATTTATAGAAGTTGCCAGGAATTTAACCCTACTCTAAATTGAGATGTACTGTACGTACTTGTATTTAGAAAAAAATTCTTGAGCTTTATATATTGTACAGTACATGTTGAAGATCTCTTTTCATTATTATTCTTTTTTATCCCCCAACAGAAAGTTAGGGAGGTGTAATGCTGATGTTGTTCATCCATCTGTCTGTTCATCTGTCCTTACATGAAAAATTGTGTTTTTGCTCAACAATTTTCCATAGACTTTAAGGATCGGCATAATTTTTGGCATGAATGTTTAGTATGACAGATTATTACTAAGAAGGATCGGGTACATTACAAGCCAAAATACATTTAAAATTATAGTTAGCTATTTATGTCACTTATTTACATTATCATTCAGGCATATTGGAAGTTAAGTAACACATACATTTCTTATGGTTATATTAGAATTATGTAAATCAGTCGCAGTTCCAAACAGTTAGGCTAGGGGTGCTACAACCCCACCTCAAACCATTTGTACTGTACTGTACTGTACTGTACTGTACTGTATAAAGCTTAGAAACATCACTTACAGTGACCACCAGCTTGATAATTAGTATAAGACCTTTACTCAAACTGTTTGTGTTTCATTGTAGAGATCAGCAACAATTGAAATTAAATATGAATCATGAAAGATACAGGTAGGCAGGTAGTCTTTGCTTACCTCTGGGAGTTGCAACCCTGCCTTGCCAGCTGTTCTCACCCTGTGGGTTGGCATTAGGAAGAGCATCCAGCCTTAAAACTTTGCTTTAACATACCTAATGGCATCTGGGTCACCAGAGATGTGCCCATCCCCTGGTCTCTGCTGCATTTTCTGGGCTGGGTTTACAGTACATTAGTGAGTGGGGGGGGGGTCTCATTCTGGTTTTATCCAACATTTGCCATCAGGTAATTGTGGTGAACCCACACAAGCAATAAAAAATTGACAAGGATGCTGTTTCTCAGAGGCTCAAAACCAGCACATGTCATCACTTGTTATGTTGAAGGAAGTACAGTACAACCTACTGTATTGTTTGTAATTTCACTTAGAACAAGTGCAGTATTATGCACTAGTTTGTAACAACTACAGTATTAACATTAAATTATTATACATTTATTTGTAGTGCTCAATGTTATTAAGGAAGAAGGAGGTGAATATGGTCACTTAACTCTCTTAGAGAATTAATCCATATACAAGTTTGAATTTTACGGTATAATCTCTGAAGTGCCATTTTATGGTGATGGATGGTAAGATTGTTATTTATTATAGTTATCTCTGTACTGTGTATGTTTTTAAAACCTTCATTTTATGTTTAAAAAAAATAATTGTGTGGAAATTAGTGACTATTGACTACTACATGAGTAGCTTGGTTATGGTCATATTGTATGGCACCTAATTAAGAGTGAGAGTAACAGTAGGTCTCATAGGGCTGACAGTCAGTTGGGGGCTGTTTGGATAAGGCACACTGTATATTAAGCCTTTGGCGTGCAAGGAGGCAGTGTGACCAGCACTGCTTTCAATTGCCTCTATTTCCCCAACTGTAAAGTTAGGTACCCATGTACAATTGAGTGAACTGGGGGTGCCCTGGATGCAGGCCACCAATCCTCAGTTCTGCTCTGTATCCATTTGTCCACCGCACCCCCAATGAAAAATGCAAAAGTACAAAAATATACTTGATATAAAAATGGTTGTCAGCATGATCCACCCACCATGCAGATGTTGATGAAAAATTGAGAGAATAAAATAAAACAAAATGCTGTACTATATGAGCAGTACAGTACTGTATACTCATATGGTAATTTCTACTAGTGAACCAGTTTTGTAATTCTTCAACAAAAAAGTCTTTATTTAATGGAAATTTAAGAAAAAAGTCTTTACAGTAACATTCACATGGTGAGGCAAATGTGCTCCATGTGGCTACTTTCCAGTTTAGCAGCCAAATGACAATGTTTTATCGTTAAGCTTTATTTCTACTGTTGTCTCAGTAGTTGACAAAGTTGTAAAACAGTTCTGGACTTTGTTACTTATGTAAAAGTATTGTTATATTGGCAAAATGTTACTAAAGTAGAAGTAAAATATCCAAAGTAGAATGTACTCAAGCAGAAGTAAAAAAGTATCTCATTCATGAGGTACTCGAGTACTGAAAGTAAAAAGTAACAACAAAATTATTAATCGTATCATTTACATTTTACATAACTACTGTATATTAAAAATCATAAAACACCAAGAAAGTCACCTTAGAAAATTTTTAAGTCTCTTTGAGAGTGCTGCCGACTTTAGCCTGATAGGACTACCCAAACTGCTATGAACTGCCACAATGACCACACAGGGTCCACCACTCAGGTGGACCCTGTGTGTACTAGCTCCCCCTTTCCTGAACACTCGATGTGGAATACAGTATACCTAA